TTACCCAGTAGCATAGATTCATAGGTTTGCTTTTACATTTTTGGATTTTAATCTTTTAAAACAATAGAACCAAAATTATAATAATAAAGTTTTATATTTGTAATATGTCTATTGCAGACCTTATTTTCATTTGGCTTTGATTTAACATTTAGAATCCCTCCTTTTGAGTTCAAGGACTCCCTTTTGCATTTCTCATAGGTTAGATCTAGTAGTAATAAATGCTCTCAGCTCTTGTTTATCTGGAAAATTCTTAATTTCTTCTCCATTTTTAAAGGACAGTTTTGCTGGAGGTAGTATTATTGGTTGACAGTTTCTTTTTGTTTTATTTTGCTTTTTACTTCATGCGCTTTAAATATATCATCCCACTGCCTTCCAGCATGCATGGATTCTACTAAGAAACCTGGTGATAACTTATAGAGGCTCATTGTACATTACAATTTTCTCTTGCTTTTTCCGAGATTATTTTTGACTTTCAATAGTTGGATTAAAATGTGTCTGTGTGTGTGTGTCTGAATTTATCCCATGGGAGCTTGTTGAGCTTCAGTTCATATGTCTGACTCCTAAAATCTGAGAAGTTTTTTAGCCATTATTCCTTCACATATGCTTTCTGCCCTTTTCTCTTTCTTCTCCTTATGCAACTACCATAATACCTCAAGCAACACATCTGCTTCGGCCTCCCAAGAGAGAAAAATAATATTCTATTCAAGTACAAGGGAAAAACACTGAATATTTATGATGTACCAGAATCTAAGTTAGGTAATAAACAATAAGATATTTCCTATTTCAATAAGTGTAAAATACTTTTATTAATATTACATAAGTAAAATACCATAGGAGCACAGAAGTCGTGACATTAATTTGCTTAATGAGCCTGAAAGGGACTCAAAGGATGAGTATAATTCAGGGAGATTTAAAAAAAAAAGAAAAGGATTCAATGCAGAAAGAAGAGCTGTACAAAAACAAGGAAATGTGATAGTACGTTAACCTCTTTACAGGTTTAGGAAATGTTTTTTTATAGGAAGAAGATAAAGACTAGTTGTATCTGGAAGGGAGGGTTATGACCAAATTATGAGGGATACTGAAAGTCATTCTTTTATAGAACTATAGTTTCGGCTGGGCGCGGTGGCTCAAGCCTGTAATCCCAGCACTTTGGGAGGCCGAGGCGGGGGATCACGAGGTCAGGAGATCCAGACCATCCTGGCTAACACGGTGAAACCCCGTCTCTACTAAAAATACAAAAAATAGCTGGGCGAGGTAGCGGGCGCCTGTAGTCCCAGTTACTCGGGAGGCTGAGGCAGGAGAATGGCGGGAACCCGGGAGGCGGAGCTTGCAGTGAGCCGAGATCGCGCCACTGCACTCCAGCCTGGGTGACAGAGACAGATTCCGTATCAAAAAAAAAAAAAAAAAAAAAAAAGAACTATGGTTTCTAGAGTTTTGGGTTGTATGAACTAGCCAAAATTTAAAAGATCATATTTTATGGTTGTCAGCTTTTTATACTGCCAAGTTACTGGCATTTAAAAAACAAAACTCAAAACCTAAAAATCGATCATTTGCTGTCATCATTTTATAAAGAAAAGTCATTTTAACATCAGCAAAGAAAGACAGAAATATTACATCCATATAGATTAAAAAGTAGGATGTATTAAAATTCTTTGAACGTAGAAAGTTACAAGATATAATTGTATTCTGCCAAGGGAACACAAACTGAACTTTTAAATATCTAACCTGTTCCAATATTTCATTTCTAGCATAGTTACATTAAAAAAGAAAATCCAAGTTCACCTGGATGCACTGATAACAATGAAGGCATATTCTTAATGGTCTTTCCACTCAATTCAGAATATCTGAGGTAAACAGAGAAGCTAAAAAAAAAATAGCTCTCAATTACTCTGTCATTTTTCTCTGTGCATTGATGAGAAGAAATAAATAAGAAACAATTTGAATGTGTGGCCATGGAAGATTCTGGAAAGTAGCTACACACAGGGGTTCCTGATTTTCCAATACAGAGCAGTTAACGTAAAATTGCCACAAACTGTCACTTAAGAACCAGTAACATGAGTCTTATAACTTAATTGTGCCTTTGCTCTGGCGGCTAGAAAACTTGTACAGAATTTGTCTTAGTTTTAGTAACAGTGCAGGACTCACTACTAACATTATTACATGACTAACTTTATTCCTTGTTTTATTTCATTATGTCTTTGGTCAGTATTTATACATTTCTGTAAAACCTATCAAATCGTTTTAGGAAAAGATAGATAGCAACAGAAAAAATAAAAGGCTTTTATCTTGTAGGGAATGAGGAAACATTTAAGATTTGTTTTTTTCAATGATGTTTATTGAACTTCTTTATTTTAATAAAGTAACACATGTTACAGAAAAGCATGAAAATAAAAATATCAATAACCAGCATTCTTGCTCCTCAACAGCATCTAACTACAGGAAATCAAAAGAATTAAAAGCAAAAAAAGGAACTCAAGAAGGACCAACTGATAACCTGGTACCTTTCAGACTCCGTAACTATGATGCCACCACTTTCAGCTAACATAATATTTTGGCTACTGTGGAAGGTTTTTATACATGGCTTGATATAAAATTTGTAATGTTAATAATATTTGAAAAACTAGCCTCTAAATATTGTTTTCGGAAATTATTCATTCTCATGAAGTAATTGTAAATATTAAAGTTGAAGGAGAAAAGAGCTAAAGAAAAACCAAATTTTCACCTCAAATGTTTGCATTAATAGTAATGCTAATGACAAAACAAATAAATTTAGAAGGAAAAGTAAATGGAGGGAAAACAAACTTTGGATAAACAGAGTTTGAGGTATCCCTGGAGTATAAGGGTTTAGATGTCTATGCTAGGTAACTTCAACTATGTCTGGAATTCAGAAGTCTGGGTTGAGCTGTTACAGGAGTTAGGTAGAAGCAGGGAACATAACGCTTTCAAACATGTGTGTCCTCATAAATATGAGGAAGTGGCTTTATAGCAGCAGGAGTAAGACCAGGTATACACAACTACCTCACTGACCCCGTTAGAAGAATATGTGCCCTGCAAGTGGTCAGTAGGCCATCTAGTCTCATTTCCCACTGTACCTTTTATAGCACATATCCTATTTAATTTTAATTATTGGTTTTCATGTCTTTTTGCTCATTCAACTGTAAGCTCCATACGGAATATTTCTCCTGTTCTGAATGAATCAATGAATATATGATTTTGTGTAACCAATCATACACATCTAGAACAAAGCTATATAAATTATACACACAATCTGTGGCCAAGCAATAGTTTTTAAGCTTCCAAGAACTTGTAAAGTTCATTTTGGGGCTGCTTTAAATTAGCACGGTTCTTCTCAGAATCCCATTCTTCAGAGCATTTAATACTTCACTTTCTAGGTGCGAGTATCATAATGACAATAGTAGCATCCAGGGTTACATTCCTACTTAACACATCAGCAGCCTCCCTACAACACACTAGTTAAAGCCAAAGAACCCACTACTTCTCTGGCCCTAATATTCGACTACTGTCCTTCTGGTTCACATGAGACTGGCATTTTTCCTGTTGGTAGATCATACCAAGAACATCTTTCTATTCTCATTTTAGGGTCAATGTACTGACTGTTCTCTCTGCACAGAACACTCCTCTTCTAATAAGCTATAAGGCACTTATTAAGGAAGTTTTATTACTTACTATGTAAGTTTTTGCTCAAATGTAACTTTTACCGTGAGGTCTATTTAAAATTGACCACTCTCTTTAAACTTCAACCTAACCTTGCCATTCTGTAATCCCAATTCTCTGTGTGTTGTATTTATCCTTTTACATAACATTTGCTATATTCTAACACCCTATATAATTTAATTATTTTGTTTAATGCTTATTGATTTTGTGTCCTCGTAAGAATATATGCTCCATCTGAAGAAAAGGATCTTTGTCTGTTTACTTATATATCAAAAGTATGTAACATAGTACTTAGCCCAGAAGGTACTCAGTACTTTTGGAAACCTGAGAAGCTCATTATGTGACAATATTCTAAGAGCTTCAAATGCACTGCATAATTTAATCTTCACAAGAACCCTGAAGTGCTATCATTGACTCCAATTTATAGAAAGGAAACTAAGATACAAAGTGGCTAAGTAATTCACAAAGGCCACAAAGTTAAGAAAGTAGTTGAACTAGGATTCAAAGTCTGCTCCAAGATGCGGAGTCTTCCTAATAGTAACACTAAGTAGAAGCAGTTGTGACGATAACAGAACAGGCACAGGAAAACTCTCTTTCTTCTGCAGTAAACAGGAAGTGAAAAGCAAAAAAGATATACAAGGATGCTAAATCCCAGGACTACTTGAAATGGCATCTAAAGCCGTTATTCACCTACAGATCATCTTGATATTGTCTAATTCTTTCTGAAGCTCAGAAATATTTGTAAAACAACATTTTTTAAAAAGAAATAAGATTTTGATTAACCATATTTTTCAAAGCCACTCACCTAGTAAATTTATCTCATTTGGCTCCTTACTCTATTTAAGCTGCTGTTGAGGAGACAACGGCTTCATCAATTCTTTAAGTATTTCTCTAGATTTTTAATGTCTTCTTAGTTAAGGATTCTCACACTACAAATGTTATGTGAATAAGAAAAATCACTTAAAGATGCATGGCTCTCAGAGTCACAAGGAAATGTCAGAGATCACTGCTTAATAAACAGGTTATCTTAATGACAGGATATACGTCAGCCCTGATGAATGGATTAAAGAGCCAAAGCCTCCCATTCTGACACTTTTTCAATGTTCTTCATCTTCAAAGTTCTCTTATTGGTATTGACCATGCAAACATGTTACTTAAAAAAAATGAGTGAAGAGAAAACATATTGAATATCTTATTAAAATTTGTGAAGTAATGCCTTTACATTCTTTTGGAAATATATATTCCTCTAGAAGCACAAATTATGCCATGATTAATACATACATTATAGGAAACTAAAATAATTAGAATAGAGAGAGAAATCATACCTTCTATCAATAGCTCTTGTCCATGACTGCCAAGAAGTGTACGAGATAGGAATGGGGCAAAGTCTACAAAAATTTCACGAAGAAGAGGAGCAACTTTTTCTAAAGCTCTTTCAAGTTTTGCAGTGATGCTGTTGAAATTAAGACATAAAAACTAATAAATATAATTCAATATAAAATGTCAAATAAACTTTACTTCTAAATTAAAATCTTATAAATCATAAATGTCCTTTCTAGCCCATGGAATAATAGCAAGCTTCATGTATAAGGGACACCCCGTACAGTTTCACATATAGTCATAAGGCTACTGAAAGTTTTCAGCTAAATTGGAATGACTATACTATGAAAAAGATTGGGGTTATGCCACCCAAAAGTGCCAAAGACTGTTCATAGCTCTATGAGTGTCATGTAAACGAGTTCTTGTATGCCTTCTCTATGTATCTATCCATCAAAGAAGATGATTTTGAACACTGACAATGTGGGTCACCGTGCCAGTTACAAATAATATAACTCTTGTTCTCAAGGAAGTATTACCTGAAATCTGGACAAATAAGGGAATAACTGAAATTCACTATAATACAGTTGAATGCTGTGCCAAACTAGGCATTTTCCATTTCATAAGCCCATTTACTTTTCTTTACAAGCTGCTGTATTACTATATAGTTCACTGTTGAATGTTATACATAAGCACTATTTGACATTCTTAAAAATACTTTGGTACATGTAAAAGTAAAAAATGGGGATGAAGAAAATATTTCTGCTCAGACAAATGAATAACACAGTAACAGATTTATCTGTCTTAGATTAAAAAAAGTGCTTTGGCGTAAGACTGCTTAGACTAGAATCCTGGCTCTACCATACACTAGCTAGGTCACCTTAGGCACATTAGGCTTTCTGTGTCTGCAAAATGAAGATGATTGCAGTACCTACCCAGTGAGGATTAAATAAGCTAAGGAATGTAAAGTACACAGAAAAGCACCCAGCACACAGTGAGAGGTCAATAATGTTCACTTTTTTCAATCTACTTTGAACACACCCATATTTACACTCACAAAATGTGATTCTGATACATTAAACAAATCAAAATCAATATATTAGATGAGCACACATTCTTCTACACAGAAGATATGCACAGTTAGCAATTAAACAATGTTACAAAATAATACAAGTTCTGCCACAATGCCAGGTAACATTGTGTTACACATGAGGCAAATATTTATAAATGAAAAAAAGGTAATTAACCATAAAATAATTTGTAATATATTACTAAGGTTTAAAACTAAACTATGGCATCTTTTTAATTTTTTAAGCAATTAAATAGTTATTAGAGAATAATATTGGATGACTTCTTTCCTAAATTGGAAACAGCCAAGTTTCAAATCTTTGAGCACTCTAAGTCTCACCATCAGCACTTCTGTTTAACTCTGTCTCCTCTTACCTGTGTCAACAGCTCTAGAGAAAGGAGAAAGCATGGAGAAAACTCAAGTTTGGTCACTGCCACATACATTTAGAAAATTCTGGAGGAACAATTTTCCATAAGAAAAAGGGATTTGAAGGGGATTTGGCAGACTTACTGAAATTAAGAGATTTCAATAGTCTTCCCTACTCTGTAATTCCTAAAGCAAGGACCTCCTGAAGACACTGGTTCTCAAGCTTTGGTGTGGATCAGAATCACCTGGAGAGTCCATTTAACCCGACTGCTGAGTCCCACCCTAGTTTCTGACTCAGCAGGACTGTGTGTACAGCGAGCATTTGTTAGAAGTACAAACTCTCGGTGGTGTTGATGCTACTGATCCAGGAAACACACTTTGAGAATGACTGTTTTAATGAGAGTATTTACTATTAGAAAGAATTAACAAAGAAGCCAGCAAAAGAAAGGCCACCTGAAGTCACTGAATAAGCATAATCACAGGAAGTTATCTGTTAGTGAATACAAAGAGATTCTTTTTTGAATCTACAATTTCATTAATTCCTTCAAATCTCTAAACTTACGTCCTACAGCTCTTCCCAGCTAAACTAATTCCCTCTACTAAGAAATGGTGAAAATGGTAAGAGTGAGTTTATTAAAAGGAGAAAAATCTAGATATAATAGTTTCTGATGCTCAATTCTAAATGAAGTATGATTATTTATTTTTCTTAAGATTAATAAGTGAGAGTAAAATTATTTTAGAAAAATTATTGATTCATGGAGGTTTGCATCATAGCTATTGGATTTAATGGACTATTACTGAGTTAAAGCCAGGAACATTTTTTATCCCAGTTTGAGAACTTTCTCCCCTATTTTACAGATTTCTGCGTGATTTTAGAGGCTTCAGAATTACAAAAATACTGTTACTGATGATTAAGTTAAATATGAAATAGAAACTTCAATTAATCCGAGCAACTGATTACTTCTGTCTGTAAGTATGTATAAATAGACATTATTTCCAATTATCTTGACTTAAGGGTAATAGTTATTTCTCATGAAGTGAATCCCTATTAAGATTTTTAAAAAATATTTTCTTATAAAATTTATTAGAATATTAAATGTTGCTCTTACATATCATCCTGCAATGAGAATTTTAATTTTCTAATGGCGGCAAAGAATATAATATTTTACTCAGCAAGAGATTAGAAGTTTTATGTATATAAACCATTATCAAATAATTCTGCTGGAATTACAACAGCAAAATATTCTAAATGGAAAAACTTCATCCTCATTTTTCACAGTGAAGAAAACAGTTTTTGTTGTTGTTGCTATTTAGAGTCCCCACAATGTATTTCAAAGAAGGTTATAAATGCTGTATAAATTCGCTTCATTGTTACACAATTTAAATTCTGAAAGAAAATGGTACGAACACAAACTTCATCCTAAGACCCTCCTTTATCACCTGAAAATAAGGATTAATTACAAAAAATACCCAAAAAAAGACATATTGTGGCTATATTGTCATTTTGTTATTTCTGTTCTTATCTCAAAGAAACACACAATGTAAAACTCCTTTTCCCCAATTCCAAGACACATATGAGACAGCTACCTGTTAATATGTTAAAAAAAATTAAAAGCTATGTTAATGTGAGAAAAGCCCATGCCCTTAAGTCCTATAAAAATAAATAAAATTTTCTTCTTAAAATAAAAATACAAAGAACATATAGCCACCAGAATAAAACCAGGTATTCTTCAGCAAATAATTTTGTAAGAAAAACTGGCATAATGTACTGACTTTAGAGGAAAATTCTAAAGAGTAATTTTTCAATTTTCTCTAAAAGTTTATTTTCATTTATTCAAAAACATTCATTTAGGCTGGGCACGGTGGCTCACACCTATAATCCCAGCGCTTTGGAAGACTGAAGAAGGAGAATGGCTTGAGTGCAGGAGTTCAAGACCAGCCTGGGCAACATGGTGAGACCCTGTCTCTACCAAAAAATTAAAAAATTAGCCAGGTGTGGTGGCGGGCACCTGTGATCCTAGCTACTCAAGAGGTTGAGGCAAGAGGATCGCTTGAGCCCAGGAGGTCAATGTTGCAGTGAGCTATGATCATGCCACTACACTCCAGCCTGGATAACAGAGCAAGACCCCTATTTTGCAACAAAAAACAAAAACAAAAAAACTGTTTATTTAGTCTAAGACATTTTATGCACAGAAGTAATACAAAGGTGTATTTCCCTATGTAGGGGAATCTGCCCTGCACAGTCTGAGTGAGTTTATAATCTTATACTCTAATAACTTAATATTTGGTTAAGTTCTTGGGCTCTAACCACAGACTTTATCAAGTGTGGGTTGAAAAGCATACAATTTCAAGCCACTCATTCTATTCTCCCCAGTCTATTTTTTCCCCTTAAGTCACACTAATGAAGTGTTTAAGATGCTTGATTGATAACTATTTTGAATTTGGCTAGTTTTCTTAATAGTAAGTATAAACTCTTAAGAAAAAGAATTAAATTACTGGAACTGGAGGCCATTATCTTAAGTGAAGTAACTCAAACAGAAAGGCAAATACCACTCACTTATAAGTGGGCGCTAAATAATATGTACACATGGATAGAATATGGAATGATAGATACTAAAGGTTGATGACTTGGAAGGGTTGAAGGGTGGAAGGCAGGAGCGAGAGGTAAGAAATTACTTAATGGGTACCATGTACATAATTCAGGTGATGAATACACTAAAAGCCAAGACTTCACCACTACGCAATATATCCATAAAACAAAATTGCACTTATATCCCTTAAATTTACACAAATCAAAAATAAATAAATAAATAAAAAGAAAGAGAATTACTTATTTCCATGAAGAAAAGTCCTGTTGCAACTTGAGAAATTATAAACCACTCTTGCAAAATTACCAACTCAAAACAAAATATTCAAAGGAAGTAATAAGGCTTTAGATGAAATTCTATAGCTCCAATGATTAGATTAAAACAATATGACTTAAAACACAAAAGCTTACAATTATGGTTTTTAAAAACTGCAATCATGTTTGGCTTTTACCTGTATTGAGGAAGTCTCATTCACAGTTAATTCTAAGAAATTCATATGAATAAAAATATAATTAATCCATGGAAAAAATAATGTATGAAAACCCATGGCTTAATTATTATTAAATCTTGCCAAATGTAACTGGCCTCAAGAAATATCCAAGGCCATGGTAATTATAAGTACACAGATTAGTTAAAAAAAATGAAAATTTTTCTCTCCTGTCATCTAAATGAATCCCCTGATAAACATAGTTCATAACAAAGTGATCTTTTCTTAATGGTATATGTTTTAGAATTCTAGAAAAATATAATATTTCTACTCTTATTTAGGGCCCTACATACATTGTGTATTCTATTTTAACAAACTCCCTTATGTTTGTGCTACTTCATAAAGTCATTTTTACTTACTTTTGATTTTATTTACTTTTTGTCTTCTCCTAGGTCTTTAGCACAATGTCATAAATATAACAAACAATAATTTGATTTGAAAGATTAGAGTGCTTAAATTTCCTATTTCTTAAATCATATAAAATAGGTAGTTACAATAAGAAAACATAGAATAAAAAGAAATAATCACATACCCTTAAGTATTGTACCTAAAAGATTTACTCAGACATAAAAGAAATTATTACATTAGTGAATTCTATAGATTTTTATTAATTGAATGCTCCTATG